GGGAAAAAAACCTTGTTCAGCATATGCTATTTATAGAACGTCTGTATGACTATGTGTGTACCAAATTTTATTCTAATCTGAATTTTGGTTTTGTAGATATAGAGATAGTTCGCAAACTTTTTGATCACCCCTCGTATCAACATATAGATTTGTATTTGAGAAATTTAATATGCTGCCTTACCCCCGTGTTTCACCAACACATCTTGATTTTATTTATGTTTTATTAATATGTTATATAGTAATATCATTATATTATACATCAATATTGAAATTTTATTCATTAATACATGTCCCCATATATATGTACAACACTTGCAACCCTCAAATTTCCATCCCAGAACAAAATCAAATCTTAAAAGGAAGTTTTGTAAAGGAAAATCGGGAGCTGTGCTTCAGTAATTTACATTCCTCATTGAAGCTGTACACAAAAATACGTCTCCCAAAATTAAAAAAAGAGGACTAAACTATAAACTCATTGCAAAAGAAATAATTCAGTGATTAATTTGAAATAGAAAAAAAAATAAAGAATTCTATTACATATATGTCAAGCATTAACTAGCATAAAAAGGGACATATCTTTGTAAATCTATCAATTATTTTTTCCTTATTTGATTTGGGAAACTTGTTTATTTTTTCAAAAGAGGTTAATATGGTTTAAAATAATTAGTGATGCATGTTTTGTTTAAAGTGGGTTTATGATATTAATTTCCCATCTTTTTAAGTTCGAAAAGTGAGTTAAATATAAACCAACTGTAATAACAAAAAGTTATATCTCTTTCTTCATAATAATTGATGTAACATAAAATGATGCTTTTCACTTCTCAATTTGTGTTAAATACTGTAAACCAACTTTTATTCGCGACGACTTTATTTCGCAATTTACCAGGCTTAAACTAGTTGGCGACGATTAATTTTCGCGACCAAGCCTTTTTGGATCTTCTGTAAATAGACAGAGAGACTTTTAATATCGGTTCGCGGCGAGAAATATTCGCGATGCCAAGGATGTCGCGAACTTAGCGAAAATTTCTCGCATAGAAATGGGTTTACAGTATTTACTGAGTACTATATATATTTTGTGAGTACTACAGTTTATGTTTTTTTTAATCAGTTGTTATTAATTTACTGTCATACAAACATGCTATTTGTTTGATGTTATACAAAGTATCTCATCAGTTCAATAATGAATGCTGTTTATGCAAAAAATGAACATTATTACATATGGGGTCAGTTTGGGGGGTCATTAGCTATTGCGTGCAATAGCATCCTGTTTATTTATTAATTCCTAATATAATGTTAAATTCCTATATTTTGTACATTAATGTCTTTTAAGATACGAGGGTTCTTCGAAAAGTTGGACAATGTCAATCTTCGGTATACTACTTTCAAGAAATTTAAAATAAGTTCAATATCCTGTGTAGAAATATTTGTTTTGTTGAAGTGTGGAGTTTCATTCCATTCAAATGCATAGAAATTTACTTCATTTTAAAATCAATATGTTTTGTACCCATGGAGCATACTTCACAGCGGTGTAACATCAAAAACAAAGCGTCAAGTATTTTTTTTTTAAATAATATCATATACAATTAAACTGCTAAGTTCAATTATAGCTTATTAAAAACCCATTTCTAACAATTGTTCTCGTTATATAATTTCCTTTGTCAATGTTTTAATTTCTTTTACCACTTAGCTGTGCTTTTACAAGATCAGCAACTCGGAAGCGCTATGTCTTTTCATGACGTACCAAATTTTTAAAGTTTTTGATCAGCTTTTATTATATAGATAAACCGTTTCTTCACAGATTGTCCTCATCTGATACAGAGATTCTGTTACTCAAATTCCGCCTGTACTAAAAACAAATTAAACAGTATCTCACAATTAAGTCGTGCATTAAACATATCTAGAGTTTATTCAGTATAACACAAAATTGCATCGTTATCTGCTTCTCTGTAACGTTCAACAACGTCATTTTGTGTTGCTTTCAATGAAGACTTCCATCTTAGCAAATTGATATCTTATGAACTAATCTATTATCAGTTTCTATTATAGAAATATTAAACTATACTATGGAATATGAATCAATGTAACAGTTCTTAATTTCAAAGTCTTAGATTTTTTTCCCCTTTTTGCTCCATTTTACGTACACTATAACTACAGACATTGTCATATATTAATTTCGTGTGTTGTTTGTGAACTACTAAATTTTGACTTGCTCCATGATCCGATTTTTGCAGTTTTAAATTCTGGATAGGTTTAAAATTAATTAAGATAGTTTAATTTATTGAAATGCAAATAATTTGAATTCATAGTTAAAATATTTTTACCAAATTTAGTTAGCATATGACGTTAAATGAAAAAAAAAAGATATGACAGGAGTCCATGAACTTTTCGAACAACCCTCGCATAGTATAAAGAGGGATGATATATTTACCGTTGGAAAGACTATAGATTTAAGATGCTATCCATTATGTGATGTAACTTGGAGGATATTCGGGGATTAATTGTGCATAATGGTTTAGAAAATGATAATGACAAGTAAATCATTTATATACAAAATATAGTAATCTAGGTTTCACTGGGATAAACAAGTACATGTATATACATTGAAGCAAAACAAAAAAGATATAAAAACATATACTGGAATTACAAATATGTACTCAGTAGGATAACACATTTGCAATAGGTTTTAAAAGTTCAGTTAAGTAGAAAGTTTCCAGCAAAACCGTACCCATCACTATATCTATGACCATAGACAATGAGTCCAAACTTTGAATTGTCTGTTGTAGATAAAATGAATATTCCTCTTTCAACCTGAATGGTAAATACGCTGAAAATATTTTCCAAAACAATTGAGCTCTGAAACACTGTTTTGAATTTATTGAATGAGTTTCCGTTGATTCGAAGATTATATAAGGAAATTTGAGGAATAATCACACAAATAAAGTTTTCCGTGTATCCTTCTGGTACAGGAATTTTATAATAACTCAGATACTGATTAATGCCTGGAATCACAGTCATGTAAGGATCATATGGACCTCCATTCCAAATCCATAATTAAAACAGGTTTAATAGGAAACAATAACAGTTATGCTGCTGACGTCGCTGTCAGATTCTAGATCTCCATATAAATGCCTTGTTATCTTTTTGTCTCCAAAACTGGAATTTGATATAGTTTCCTGTGGCTCCAATAGAAATCAAAGTAATTTCATTGTTGTGAAATGGGGCAACGATATAATGAGTGTCAAGTTCGCTAATTGGTGGTAACTGCGTTACCACGTGACTACATCGGCTTGGTTTCCATAATTGACATTGTTTCCCTGAAAATACAGCTAGTGGTTTTGTTGCTGTAATAAAAGTTCCAGTAAGATCTGTAGTATGATTGACCTGTAAAGTTTCCAGTCTTGATAATACTACTAGAAAGTATCCCGTCCTTGTATGTTCCACCAAATACATGAATTGAAGAATTTTGTCCAATTTTCAATTCAATCTGTACACTTGTATCGTCATATAGAGCTCCTATAGCGAACTGGCTATAAAAATCAACTGAATTTAACACTGGCATTGTTGAAGAAACGAGATATTTTGTTGAGAGTTTATTAGTTGGGATAATCAGCGTCCCATCGTTAGTAGTTTCCCCAAAGCTATCAAAAATAGTTACAGTGGATGGCTCAGAAGTCTGTACTATAACAGCTTTAGGTTCAACTGTTAAGTACTCGCATGTTAGAGTAAAAGGAAGAGATATTATTGACATTGAGTTAAAGTAGACTGTCTTATCTGTCTTTGACTTTATGTTTGCATTCAAAAATGGAGAACTTGAAATGTTAACCATTGCATTATTTTCAGTTGTTATATAGACGGTTACCGGTCCAGACACAGAAGGATAATTCCCCATGAACAGTACAAGGAACTCTTTGCCTCTATTACCTAATAAAAATTTGATTTCAAGATCAGCAGAAAAATACACACACACACAGAGAGAGAGAGAGAGAGAGAGAGAGAGAGAGAGAGAGAGAGAGAGGGGTGCTCAAAGAAAATCACTTTTATAAAGATACCCACTTCCGAGTAAATGTAGAAAGCACAAAGATATTCAATTTTATTGCAGAGCTGTCTAGCGCGCTGTTCTTGAACTGCTAAGAGAAAGATTCCATAAGTCGAGAGTTAAACACCGGGCGGGCGAAAAGTCTGTATCCTTTTAAAAAGTGAATTTCTTTGTGCATTCAATATTTAATATTCCTTCACTTAGGGCAGTTATGTTAATTAAAGAATTACATGTATTATAAAATGTGCTTTATAAATGAAAAAAACAAAACAAAACATTATACTACTATGGGTATTTGTAACGATCCTCTTAAAAAAACTAATGTCCAATTAACGGTATCTCACTTTAATTCTTAATGACTGTGTAATGTAGGACGGCGCTGTGATAATTCCTTCGGCATCGAAAGCAAGTTTTGTTTTACTTGCTTAGATAGCCGAACGGTCTAGCGCGCGGTTACTGTCCTGTCTGGGACGGTAGTGGGTATCCTTATAAAAGTGATTTTATATATATACATACCTAATGAATTTTTCCCCTCCGTTGAGGTTGGTGTTGAAGACATTACCAAAGAGGTAGAAGTCAAGCTTTCGCCTTCAATGACATAAAACTGTTACAAGTATTGTTTAAAATATTTTTATTTAAATGGAATTTAAGACATCATGATGTGAAAGGATGTTTGTTTATTTTCTTAATTACGAAACCATGATAACAAATCTAAAATTTTTTGACATGTTTAAACAATACACCCCTGCCTGGCATTTCAGGAAATTCTTCACAAACATGAGTTTGTGAAGGTTACTGATTAGTCAACGATGAAGCACTAAATTTATTTACTTATTACATTCCGTATTCAAAATTGAATACCCCTGTTACAACGCGAAATGTGATAACAACGCGAAATGTAATAAACAGGGGTTATTACATTTTGCGTTTTAACATTTTGTGTTGAGATAAACGCAACATGTAATTACGCAAAATGTAATAGCACAATGTTTGGATTTTTACATTTTGCATCAAGATCAACAAAAAATGCAATAACGTGCTTTTTCGTTGTTACATTTTACGTTATGTTATTTTTGCCTT